CCCTTCGCCAATACCGCCTCGGCCGCACCCGTGCCCGCCGCGCCGTCGGCCAGCGTCCTCATCGGCCTCGCCATCCACCCGGTCGGCGACATTGCGCACTTCCTCCTCGCCGCCGGTCTGGCACGCTGCGTCGACTGGCACGCAGGCATGCTCGCCTCGTACGGCGGCATGGAAAAGTACCGCCAGGCCGAACGCGCCGCCAAGGAGAAGCGTCTCAACCTGTGGCAGTCGTACTCGGCGCCCGCGTCGGCCTCGACCGCGCTCTCGAGCCAGCCCGTGGCACAGCGCACCTTTGACGCCGTCGTCACGCGCATCATCTCGGGCGACACGGTGCAGGTGCGCAGGCGCGGCGCCGACGGCAAGCTCGGCCCGGAACGACGCATCCAGTTCTCGTCGTTGCGCCAGCCGCAAGCCAAGGACGCCAAGCAGGCCGGCTACGCGGCCGAGGCGCGCGAGTTCCTGCGCAAGCGCCTCGTGGGCAAGAACGTGTCGGTGCAGATGGACTACATCAAGCCCAAGGACGGCGATTTTGACGAGCGCGAGTATGCCACGGTCAAGCAGGGCAACAAGGACGCCGACATTGGGCTGCTGCTCATCTCCAAGGGGCTCGCCACCGTGCAGAGGCACCGTCGCGACGACGAGGACCGCTCGCCCGACTTCGATACGCTCATCGAGGCCGAGGCCAAGGCCATCGCCGAGGCAAAGGGTATCCACTCGGGCAAGGAGCTGCCGGCGCCGCGCATGGGCGACGCCTCCGAGTCCGCGTCCAAGGCAAACACCTTCCTGCCCGGCCTCAAGCGCGCCGGTCGCATCGCGGCCGTGGTCGACTTTGTCGCGTCGGCGTCGCGCTTCAAGCTCATTGTGCCGCGCGAAAACGTGCGCCTGACGTTTGTGCTGGCGGGCATCCGTGCGCCCAAGACGGCGCGCAACGCGTCCGAAAAGGACGAGCCCTTCGGCCGCGAGGGGCTCGACTTTTCCACGCTGCGGGCGCTCCAGCGCGACGTCGAGATCGAGGTGTTCAGCACCGACAAGGTGGGCGGCTTCATCGGCGCGCTCTACCTCAACAAGTCGGACAACCTCGCCATCGCGCTCGTCGACAACGGCCTCGCCAGCGTCCACGGCTACTCGGCCGAGTCCACGCCGTTCTACAAGCAGCTGCTCGAGGCCGAGGACAAGGCGAAGAAGGCTCAGCTCGGCGTTTGGCAGGGCTACGATGCGGCTGCCGAGGAGGCTGCGTATGCTGATGCGGGTAGTGCCGGTGCGGTGGGCGGTGCTGGAGCCGCGCGGGGCGGTGCACCGGCGTGGGGAGGTGCAAGCAACGGCCGCGGTGCTGCTGGAGCGGCTGCTGCAGCGCCCGCGCCCGCACGCACCGAGTACGTCGACTGCATCATCTCGGACGTGCGCGGCTCGTCGTCGCCCGACGAGCCGTTCGGATTCAGCGTGCAGGTGCTCAACGACCAGATCCAAGAACTCGAGACGCTCATGCACGAATTCTCGCTGCACCACCAATCTCCCATCGCTGCTGGCGGCGCACACTTCATCCCACGTGCCGGCGACCTGGTATCGGCCAAGTTCAGTCAGGACGGAGCATGGTACCGCGCCGTGATCCGCAAGGTGTCGTCGGGGCTCAAGGAGGCGCAGGTATCGTTCATCGACTACGGCAACCAAGAGAGCGTGTCGTTCAAGAACCTGCGTCCGTTGGATGCGGCCAAGTTCGGGCGCACACGTCTGGCGGCGCAGGCCAAAGAGGCACGGCTGTCGTTCGTCCGGCTGTACGATGGCAAGCAGGCCGAGTACGTCGAAGAGGCGCTGGACCGGTTCAGGGCGATTGCCGCAGAGGGCAGGAAGATGATCGCCAACATCGACTATACCGAGCCGGGCACCAACATCATCCACGTCAGCCTGTACGATCCCGAAGCGCCCGAGATTGGAAAGAGCCCCGAGGTGGGGTGTGTCAACTACGAGCTGGCACGCGAGGGGTATGCGCTGCTCGACACCAGCGTGCGCTACTGGAAGAGCTACCCGGCCATGACCAAGGCACTTGCCTCTGCCCTCGACGAGGCCAGATCCAGACACCGCGGCTGCTTCGAATACGGTGACCCCACCGAGGACTAGACGGCCCGCACTGTAGCCACTTAGCACACACACACTGCAATGGTGATACTGGTAGAAAGTTTGAATTTGTGGGTGGTATGAGGATTACCAGCGACGGTAGGGGAGGAACTTGCCGTCGAGAGTGATCTTTACGCGGTCTTCGCCCTGGGCGCCCTTGACCTTGTCCACGTGGCCTTCAAAGTCGATGGCCGACATGATGCCGTCTCCGAACTGGGCGGTGCAAGACGAGGTGAGCCTTCTTTCCTTCTAGTCAGAGA